GAAGATGTTACAAAAGAGTCGGTTCTTGTGAACAAAAAAAAACCTTTTGCTTTCATAAAAAGAGGAGAATTTCATGACCAGGTAAGCGACTGTTAGCTACTCAAGTATTTTATTCAATGAATTTAGCGATTTAACTGAGCGATTCATTGTGTAGAGAGGTAAAATATCCACCCTTGTCCCTACCAATGAGCTTTCTTCAATATTTGGTCATACGACAAGCAAGCACGTAAAGAAGTACGATTCATTCAATGTTACATAACAACTTAACTTCAAGAATCCTGAATAAATTTAGCAGGCTAAACAAACAATTTACAACAATAAAAAACAGCATTAAATTCAAGAGTGATCAAATCATAAAACTTCGTGACATTTTCAAATGGATGTCATGTCATGGCTCAGGCGGTTGGTCACCGGCTTCTAACCACAGCGGTCCGGGTTCAACATGAGGTCATGTGAAATTTATGGTGGACAAAGTAGCATTGTGACGGGTTTTCTCAGAGAACTTCGGTTTCCCTTGCCAATTCTGTCTCCACCAACTGCTCCAATTCATTAATCATTCTACTATCGACGCTCTATAGTCTCGACACCGAACGTCGTTAAATAACCAACTTCAAAAATGCCATGGTAATATTCGAGGATTTTTAGCACTACTCACCAGACGTCGCAGTCAAGTGGGTAACTTTGTTTCGCATTCTGAGTTTTCTGTCAGCGACCGGCCCTCGTGACAGGTTTCTTCGTGAATTTGTCGGACCCTCCAGGCAACTGTGAGAACAGCGCCTCAGATGAGGCTACGCATTTCTCCTCCCACATCGCTTTCAATTTAGTGCCAATCGTCCTACTTATTATTCAGCACTCTACAGTCTGAGTTACTGACAGCGTCGAGTATTACCAGATCATCGAGTAATCAAGAGATAAACACAAAAACGACAAAAACGCGGTAATTTACAGAATGAAGCATTTTTGACTATTTAGTAAGCATATGTCAGGGGATGCTTTAGGTTTGTAGTTTCAATAAAAGTAATGCAAAAAAACGGTCACGGTAGCCGAACGACCTGAGGCCTACACTGTCTTCGCTCGCTCGGAATCAGGGATCGTGGGCTCGAATTCCACTCAGGGCATGGATGTTTGGTGTGTGTGTAGGTAGAGGCCTTGCGACGAGCTGATCACCAGCCCAAGAAGTCCTACGGAACGTCTAAGATCTAGTAAACCGAAGTGAAACGGAGAGTTTCATGGAGGTGGGCCTAGGTCCAAATTGGGGCTGTAGCACCAAAAGAAAAAAGTGCAAAAAAGAATGCTGGACTTGTTAAGGTTTTTTTTTTTCACTTCACAATACGACCCTAAGCAAAATCTGTGGAACCCGACTGAGAAACACTCCAATACCGGATCTAATTCTCATTCATACAAACGGCTTCAACACCGACAAGAATTAAAAGCAAATCAGGCGAAATGCGAACTTACATATACACTGACGGTGAGAACCAAGACGTAATAGATTCCAACTGCTACAAAGTCGTATGTTCCCAGCACACTCGACCTTGCAGGGACATCCATCTGAAATGTAAACATCAAACATTCAGAAGAGCAGCATAGCAAACGTGAAGTGACATTCGAGGCTGGAACAGGCATTAGTGTCTATACCCTGAAGTGAAGAATTCTACATTAGTGGGCGAGCTCACGTTCAGGATTTTTTTTTTCCTTGGCACTACAGCCCCAGTGGGCCTAGGCCTACCTCCATGAACTTCTCCGTTCACTTCGGTTTTTCTAGATCTTACACATTCGGTAGGACTCCTTGGGCGAGTGATCAGCACGTCGCAAGGCCTCTACCTGTACACAAACACAGAAAAACGCACACACACAAACTAAACATCCATGCCCTGAGCGGGATTCGAACCCACGATCCCGGTTTCCAAGCGAGCGAAGACAGTACATGCCTACTTTCAGGATTATTATTATTATTATTATTATTTAAACTGCAAATGGGTTTTTGCCCGGTGGCAGTGGTATTACAATAAGACACAAATAACACGCATCACACAAAATAACACACAACACTCAAACAAAACACAGCACACAGAACTACACGAACAACAAAGGACACACTAACACACAGTAAATACAATTAAAATACACTTACAACTATAACAAATACAATACAACTACAGTTATATAAATTAATATTAATAAAAGAATAAGTATACATAGTGATGAGAGAGAGAGAAAAGCACTGTTGGGTCTACACTTGATTTGGATGATATCACTGGGCACCATCATCATCATCATCAGTAGCAGCAGTAGTAGTAGTAGTAGTAGTAGTAGTAGTAGTAGTAGTAGCAACAGTGTTAGTAATAGTAGTAGTAAACACTCTACTATAAAAGATAAAGTTTTACCACGACATTAAGCAACATAGTGAATAACTGAAATGATAACCAAAAATAGACAATGACCTGATCTAATAACGGTCCTAGTATTCAGTCACAATTAATTACCCAATGGAGCACAGTCTTTCCTGAGAGGTAATGCTCATTCATCTAGTTCAGAAATTCCCCACCTAAAGGTTCGGCCACACAGAGCGCTACGCTATGTTCGCTACGTACGCTACGTACGCTGTGCACACTCTGCGACGCAGCTAACATAGGGAACATAGCGTACGTAGCGTACGTAGCGTACGGAAGTCCGTGTGGCCAGTCACATTGGCAATAAAGGGAGATATTTTTCTGTTCGGATAGCGAACATAGCGTACGTAGCGCTCTGTGTGGCCGAACCTTTGCACAGAACCCGAACATTCATCAATATCTTCGTAAAAGGCTTCTAGTGGTCTG